TGAAGCTGCATTTACCCGCAGCCACCAAAATAAAACAACCTATCACCTGTCATCAAATGCAGAGGTGTTTATTTGTTTTGGAGTCCTGAATGCACACCCAGTAAGGGTGAGACAGAGCAGCTCCTGCATTTTTTCAATGGCAAATAAAAGCAGCACTGGGAGTTAAAGAGAGAGGATCATGTACAAAATTAATTATGACTGTTTTTGGTACATAAAACCACAGAAATATGCTGTGGGTGCGCTGCTGTGAGTCGCCTGGTAAAGGCCTGAAATCATAATTTAAAAGTCAGAGGCGTCCCACAAATTTCAGGGGAGTTTTTCAGACCATGTCACGTGTCTTTACATAGACTCCAAAAGATCTGGCTCAGTGTTTAGGTCTCAAATGCAAAATCAATGTTACATTCATGAAGATGAGATGTCAATAACAAACAACACTCACATCCTCAGAAAACATCACCAAGTTCTGACTGAGTTCTCTTTAAATACTCTTTCAATGCACTCACAATTATCTGATTTATATACCCAGGAAAGAGGTCCGGGGCACAGCCCACACTTTATGTTGCATGCAATTACACATTTCCACCAGAGAGGCCTCCAAATCCCCAAAACTTACATGGTGCAGTTTTAAATTATGAATGTCCTGTAAATCCTACTTTTTGTTGCATCCCAGAATTTTAGTAAATATCCTCTTTATTTCCACAGTAAACATACACTTTGAGCTCCAACCGCCTTATAGGTCCATTATATAGGTGTATAATTACAGACAGTAGCCCATCTGTTGCTGCACAATTTGTCACCCTCTGCGGCATTCATCATTGGTCAGTTTCTGACCACAGAACTGCTGTTGACCAGATGTCAGGCGGATCATTCTCAGCACAGCTGACAACGCCATAGCAGAGTTTGTGGTGGTGGAACACCTGGCTGTAATGATCAGATGCCCCTGAAGGCCTTCATTACCTGAATCAGGGGTGTTAGATTAAGGTTGGAGCTAAACTCTGCAGGATGCTAGATCTCCAGGCCCAGTATTGGGACCCCCTGGGCTAGAGAATGGCTAACCGTGACTCAAGTGATGGGCTACAGCGGTGGTCACCAACACTCTTCTAGCACTAATGCATCTCATTCAGCCAATCCAGGACCTCTGAAGAGAATCATTAGCTGGAGCAGGTGTGGCAGATTGTGGTTGGAACTCTGTAGGAAGGTAGATCTCCATGGTTGGACACCACAGGGCTACATACTCTATCTGTACACCAGCAAGGTGGAGCTATAAGACAGACGTTGTTAATAAAGAGGTTGTTGAGCCTCTTCAGCAATCAGTTTTCTTGACCCTTCATGCAGTGCTGGACTGCTTCCACCACACCCTTTGAACCACACACACTCCACGGAGCTAGAGAGTAATCACAGTGGTATTAGGCTTGAGGTTAGCACACAACACTGAAGCACAAATCATTATAAGGAATTAGTGAGGGCCTCCCTGCTCAAGCAAAGGGCAATACAACACTGCACAGGGCATAAATATACCGACACCCCAACCCACAAAGTCAACCAAACACGCCCATTCTGTGTTTGTCTTGTTACCAGAGTGCTTAGGAGGTGGCAGCTGACAGAAGCAACACAATACAGGCCTATATGAATGCCTAGGTTTGCTTACAGAGTGTATCAGCACACTCTATAAACAAGAGTGCCATGGCGTTGTTAACCATTTGCTCCAATATAGCATTTCCAAATTACTCTCTAATAAAATCCCGGTAATTAAATGCAGAGATCTCACTTGATGGATTTTGCAATAAAGCAGATGAGCTGTGCAATAATAAGCCAGGCTACAAACAGAGATCATGTGACAGACATCAACGGATCAGCCAGCCATCGTCAAGGAGCAGCAGCAGTTACTCACTGATGTTGTAAGAGCAGAAAAGGCCCAGACATGAAAGTTGTCATGCAGGAACTGCAGGTCGGTGGCCTGAATACAGAACTATGCATACAATCGCAGGTCAAAGAAAGAAGATATGAACACACCATTATAACCAGAGCTGGGCAAAATAAAGAAACTATTATTATTATTATTATTATTATTATTATTACTACTATCATAAACTATTATTATCACAATATTTTTCAAACACATCACAATATAAGAGGAGATTTGTTTGCTTTAATAAACTTAATGAGCCCATGCCTCCTGAATACTGCTACTTTTTCCTAAAAGAGAGTCTTACAAACCTGGCAGAGCTTGTTTTGTTCTAGTTCCTTCTTCCAAAAGGAGATTTCCAGCAAGGAAACTGCTTCATTGAAAACAGCCTGAAGCTAATGACATTCACAAAAGTTAACTGTCATTGACAACTGCTTACCTATTCAGCAATACCTCTGAGGGAGGCGATATGATAATATTTTATTGATATCATGATAAATTATTTCATCAGAAACTTTTCTAAGCATATCATGGATATTGTCGGTACTTAAACTACACTGACCGATCGCATGTTTCACTAAAAAAGGAGCACGATTTGCTCTGTTTAATTAGATTTAGTTCAGCACAGAATGTAAAAGATTAAATAAAAAACAGTTATTCCAGCTTACCAAATCCCAGAAAAACGAAATATTGTGATTTTTTTAGTTTAACAGGAAAAACAATATATCATGATGTGAAACAGATACCGGTATAAGGTAAGGCTGAAAGATTAAGCGTTTTTATGTCAAAATCGCAATTAACAATGTCGTCTTAACATGTTTTAGGTGGGGAAATTTCAGCCAATAATATAGAGCTTGAGAACTGCCTGTTCATTAGCTCACTACATTCAGTGTTCAAACCTCAAGCCAGAGAAACTGGACAAGCTGGTGTCCTTCGACTAAAGAAATAGGCCTGTGGCCACTTGTATAAAACATCTTAAGTAACATGTGGCCTTAGGGCTTCCCTTTGACTTAAGCAAGACACATACAATCGCTTGAAAGTGAAAAAAAAAAATGAACTGCAATCTGAATTTTAGACCATAAGTTTAAGTTTCAGCACTTGACTTTTCAACATTTACAAACACCAAACTTACATCTTTAAATTTATCCTTTAAGTATTTAACTTAACATAAATATTTAACATGTTTTATGCAAACAGGCACTTGAGCTTAATTTATAGAAAACAATCATAATTTAAATCACAGTCACAGTATCGTAGAGAAAAAATTGCGATCTTTTCTCTATATCGTTCAGCCCTAAAGGGTATGGGCGATATATCGCTCTGGGCTGGTCATAAAGCGCTCCCCTGGGAACAGAATTCATCCCTGCTAAAAAAAAGACCATTAGCACCAAAAGGATACACACCTGATGGTTTTGCTTTCTAATGGCCTAATGGTTATCAGTAGAGACCATCAGTTAGTCCCAGAACACCTGTTAAACCATTAGAGTCCTTTACACTTGATATCAACCCATCAGGACAAACACAAGATACCATTACTGACTACAGGACACCACTAGGAACTAGGGCTGTATGCTAAATAGTAATTTTATCTTTAAGCTGCGATGACAGAACATATCAAATTACTTTAGACAGAAAGCGGCAGAGAGACATCATTAAATTACTGGCACAAACCGTTAGAAGCCTAACCCTGTGGGAGACGAGTAACTTAACCATTAGGCTAAACAGCCAATTACAAAACACACGTTTGCACAGCTCAAACACTCCTTCATCCTGCAGTACAAGCCTGTAAAAACACATTGTTCTCACACCCAATATTGTGTTTTAACTGTGCCAGGCTGTCATTTTTACCGTCACAACAAACATGTTTACTAACTAAACCAAAATAAAATGTATTCGTTCTTGTGTGCCAACACTGCTGTCAAAACAAAACCTTCTGTCTTTATTTTTGACATTTTTCAGTTTTTGACATAATTTGAAAATGCCTGTTGCCCTTTACATTGTGTGTAAATTTCATGATAAATCGAGCAAAAGAAACGGCCTAAAATGACTTGGAAAAAAGTCTGTTTCCATTGATTTACATTAAAAGTAAAGTAGGTTTTTTCCTTCTCCTGTAAAGTTGCCATTTTGGAGATACGAGGTTTTGTTCCGACAACAGCGATTTATATTTGCTTCTGTAGGTTACTTAGATTTCTGTTTACACATCCAAAAAAAGTCTGTACTTGCATCACATCCAGTCTTTGGCAAATTTTGGCACATTTTATGTCATGTTATAGCAACCATGAGTCCCAGAACACCTGTTAAACCATTAGAGTCCTTTACACTGTGAAACCAACACATCAGGACAAACACAGCACAGCATTAGTGACTACTGAACACACAAAGGAACCAACAGAAACTTCGAATGGCTTCTGTGGTTTTTCTCAGCACGATGTCTCAAAGTAAATCTGACTTCCACAAAATGTTAGCTCGCTTCCCCTCAGCTGAAGATGGTGTAATGTGATGTGCAATGTCAGGCTGCTGCTGTTGCTGCACTGCGGATCAATGAAGCCACTAAGGAATTACACAGCAGTGTTATAGGAAGGTCGCCTGCCTGGACCACAGATGAACGTGTAGAGGAATGTTCTGGTTGTTGTCAAGCAGCTTCTCTAACTCTCTCACTGACGAGGCTGGAGTTGGCTTCCTATTCGCTGGCTACTTGTTCGAATTTTCCCGTTCCACCTTAAATGGTGCAGCAGTTCCATTCTGGCGCCCGAGGTTCCATTCAGGCACTTCCATTCTGGCGCCTGAGCTGCTGAACCATTTAAGGTGGAACGGGAAAATTCGAACAAGAAGCTGGCGAATAGGAAACAGACTTCAGCCTCGGCTCTTACTTACTTGGGGTTTTCCACAAAGCCAAATTTCTCCTTAAACTAGATGATAATGTACGCCAAACGTGGCAGCTTCCAATAGGAATGACAATAAGGAATTAGTCAGGTTTGAGTTCGGACTTCTTCTGTGACTCACTGAGAAACTGCTTTGTGAATCGCCCTCTGGGACATTTTCCAACCCTAAAGACACTAAAGACTGTTAAACAGAGCAGACACAGCCGGCCTACCTCAGGAAAGAATCTGAAAAGCCCGCAGACTCTCCTCGGACACTTGTCCTCCCTCTCTCTCAAACTCCTGCACGATTTCTCTTCGCTGCTTCCTCACACCGCACGAGGACACGCCCTCCACGCGCCAGTGATGGAAAGTTTGATTCAGTTTAGCGAGCCGATTCCTTCGAACTGTCCGATTCAGTTACTCAAAAGTGAGGTTGAGAGTCTCTGATTCAATTACAAATCAAATAAAGCTTTACTGGTCCCACACACAGCCAAACACAGAATAACGCGCAAAGAAATGCTTATATGACTGTCTGTTACCATGAAATATACAATATACAATGAATGAAAAATGTAAGATATTTACCAAGATTATTATAATAATATAAAAAAGGGAAGAAGAACATAAAATATCAAAATATACGGATATAACAAAATACAGTTATATGTTCAATGTAAAGTGCAGATGTGTATTCTCATCTCCTCCATGCACAAATTAAAATACAAATTCAAAGGGGTTGTTCTTATCTAGTATGTTTCATTGTGCTATTTTATGTTTTGATGTTATGATTTTGTGTTATTAAAATAAATTTATCCTCAGTCTATCACAAAAATGACACAGTAGCCTCAGTAACTAAATATAAGCATTCGATTCGATTTCGTTAGACTCGTGAATCGGTTAGAAAGTATTACTGAAATGATTCGGTTCCAAAGAATCGGTTCGTCCACGAGTCGGGCGTCGCTGCTGCTGTGTGGAATCTTATCTGATCATTGAGTGGAGAGTTTATGGGCTGTATACTTCTGTTCATGATGAATCATTGTTGTGAGAGGTTAATTCTCTGTTATGAGACACTAAATCAATTAGAAGACATATATGTGCCAATTAATAATGAGAAATATGTCTTATATGACCTAAGTGGTGAAAACAGGCCTCCATAGTAGCCCTCTTAGTTTCTTTTAGGACAACATTAGCATAGATGAAAGTGGCAGTGACTGATAAAAACAGTATCAGGGTGGTGAAGGGTTTAGGTGAAGTCTCAGGTTGGCCGATGGGGGCTGCTCTGTATATCTCTCTACCAGTCCATTTGTGTTGTTTGGAACTAAATGGCTTTTTTAAATGGAATGGCTAGCTGCGCTCAGCTAAAAGTCCACTCTTAGGCCTAATCCCATTTCACCCCTCGCCCCTACCACTTAGCCCTTACCCCTCTGTTTTGCATGTTCATGTCTATGGGTAGGGTGTCCCGATTTTAGTTGAGATAGAGGGGTAGAGGTTTTTCAGAGACACTCCAAACAGAGAGTTATGAGAAAAAAAAAGAAAAACCGGCAAGATGGCTGAGCAAGAGACCAAACAAACCCACAAATGTGAGAATTTTCTCAGTAAAAAAATAACAATAACCATTGTATTATTTTAGTTTAATGTCATTTCAGTGTATTATGGCCCTTTTCTCCATAACTAGCATAAAAAATCACTAGTAGTGTGCTGATGTCTCGGTAGCTAGCTAGCTAAATTTCCCATTCCGCCTTAAACGGTGCAGCAGTTACATTCTTGCACCTCAGGTGTCGGAACAGCTGCACTATTTAAGGTGGAACGGGAAAATTCCAGCAAGAAGCTGGTGACTATCTGACTTCAGCTTTGTATCACTGAAGAATTAGGGGTGGGCAACAAAAAATTGTAAACCCCTCTTTGAAGGCATATGATGCCCTAAATGTAACTAAAGCCCAGCAGTGAGGAGCTGAACTTTACCCTCCTCTGCTGTCACTGCAGACCGGCAGGGTCGCCTACAGAGCAGGGCTAGTAGCTGTTAATGAAGTAATGCTCTTTTTATTTGAGGGTCCCATTTCAGAGGGAAGATTTCAACCACTACACCTTGTAACTCAAGGGGCAAAGTGACACTCGAAAACAGGGGGTAGGGGTAAAAATAAGAAATGGGACTGGGCCTTACTCTCTGTTTCTGGTGTTTTGGTTGACTCTGTGCTCCTCTGAGTAGAATCAGGACCCTCATTTGGAGCTATTTCATTCAGTAGGCAGTGAAAATGAATTTCTTCAGAACATACTAAAGGCAAGGTCTGCATTTAGCCTATGTTGATTTCAGCAGGGAGCCTCATTGAGAAAGCCCAAGCATCTAGATCACTTCCACTTGCCATGGATCTCTAATGGTTAGTGCCTCCGTTCATAAGAAGCTGTTAAAATACTAAAACAAGAGCGTCGTATTTCAGTGCCATGAGAGACGGTTAGTAGCTCTGTGTGGCTCTTCATTTTCTTAGTGAACTTTGAATTAGTGATGAGGGCAGTTGCTCCAACTTTATCTTTTCAGATTTTCTCATCTCTGATTCTCCTTGAAACCTGGAGATTTTTGGTAATCCATGTTAAATGCTTTGCCAGTAGCATAACACATTAAAAAATAAAGGTGCCAAAAGGATTGTTTGGGGCGATGGCATAGAAGAACCTTTCAATGGATGGTCCTTTTAAAGACTTGCCCAGTGTTTTTCCTAATCTCACATCTGTAGTGATTACTACAGACAACAATATCAACATTTTCCCTTGGGCTTAAAGCTGCAATATGTACGTTTTGGGGATTTGGAGGCCTCTTTGGTGGAAACGTGTAATTGCATGCAATTAAAACCACTGACTGAATTATTATTTCAGGCTTTACAGGGGGCTCATCATATTTTAGCCTGTTTTTATTCATGGAGTCAGTAATGCTACTTCTTTTAAATTTAACAAAACAATCTCAGCAAAACAACAGTGCAGCTTACACTGCGTTTGACTGAAACTATAACTTGGAATTTCCAACTTCCAATTATGTCAGGGGTCGGCAACATGCGGCTCTTTTACTGCCCTGTTGCGGCTTCACAGCAGAATTAGATTTTAAGGTTAAAAATCGACTTAAGAAGCGACTTCAGCCTCATTAAAAGTCGAACATTGAGAGACATTTTACAAGAAACTGTTCTTCTTTTGAGGAAAAGTTTCCTGCTGGAGATGCGAGAAAAGCAGCTATAGCTGAGCTAAAGCTTAAAGCAGAGCAAAACAAGTCTACATTTTCATTTATATTACATTTTTAGCCTATAATAGTAACTACATTAGCACGTACTGAGACATATTTACAGCCAAGATGGTAAAATGGACATAAAATGTGGTTCCCAAGGTGGATTGATTTTTGTTGAAAGGACAAAATAGTTTGCTGACCCCTGAATTAAAAAAAAACTAAGGAAAATTTGTCTCAACTGGGAGTTTCTATTTGGAAAGTGGGGATGGTGTCCTCAACTCTAAGTTCAGCATATGAGGTCACATTAACATGGCTGCTCACACAGTCAACAGTGATTGCTGTGCCACTCCTTTATTTTTAAAAGAGATTATTTGCTTTAGATCAATCAACGCACAGACACAGTGGTTAAATCTGTAACACTGATGATAAAATTTGCTGTTTAGAGAAGGTAAACACATCATGGAGGTTAAAGTTAACACTATGTCACTAAACTTAAACTTAAAACTTAAACATAAACTTAATTAAACTTAACTGGCTAGCTTGTTGCTAACGACACTTGGTTGCATGAAGGAGCTCGTGTTTTTCCCCACTTTGTAGCTCAAACACGAAACAGAAAATTACATATTTTTCCACCAAAAACTAGAAAAGAAACGTAGTTTTATGAGTACGCTATAAATAACACGGCACTCCTGGTAATACAAAGAGCTTCAGTTTTACACAGTGATGTCAGGGTGTAGGTTAGCAGTTTCCTGGTACAGGAATGCTGATTTCCATAAAGCTGCATCATCTGGACAGAGAGAAACACCAGCATTAGGGAAGACCTGGGGGACGTGTTTCAAATACAGGTCATTCATTTTCCACCGACAGATCAAACAGTTGCAGAAAGGTTGGAGGAGGGATTTGTTGCCTTTTCTTCATTCTTCCTTCGCTCAGTTTTTCCACAGTGACATTTAGAACAAACAGGTCACCAGGGAACTCCTAATAGCTGGAATTGCTGAGATATCTTGGAACTCTAGCATTTCCATTGACAGCAGACAAAAAATGCTATCAGCCACGCGATCAAGTATGTAGATGAACTGTCAGGGAAGATAACGTTTTTCAGCACATTAGCTGACGTGACTGGAAGATAACAGAGCTGATTGTAGTCATCTGTGTTTAGGCTTTGCTGTATGTCTGTATGTAGGTACGTACATGTAGCACATAGCCAGACTAACTTTAGATGTTTTGCTGCAAAATATATATACTTAGTGAGTTTAAGTGTGGTCTAACTAAAATTAGTGCATTAGTGCCATCTTGTGGTCAAAATTTGTAAAGTCAGTGTGAAACAGCCCTTAGAGGGGAGTTCACTTAGAGATTTTTTGCCTGCAGCCATTTGTAACAAAGGACTTTTAACTTTTTAATGGAGATCTCAAACCGTGGCCATAGAGCATCCTTAATATTATATGTTTATTTTCCTACCAGGTTGTATTTTTCTGGTAACTCATTGATATTTCTGTATTTCTGTCAGTCATTGAGATGTAAACAAAGTCCGTCTGAGTGGTTTGTTGTGAAAGAGTTCATTACCGAGGAAATCAACTCTAATTTCTTAGTAGGCTAAGGGTCATAGGAACTGTATATAGTTATTGCCATTTTATTTACTTTCCAAAACAACCAGTGATCTTACAAGTGTCAGAGTTTTCATATGTAAAACTGATTGATTGATTTTTATTTTTTTTTATTGGAAAATAAAAAAAAGTATCTTTAGTTACTATTTTGGCTTAGAATACTGTGCATGTACCTCTTTGCCATGGATGTATTTTAAAAATACATTTTAGACCAAAACCTGATCTCAAAACTAACATAAAACAATGTCTCAGACACCAAGCAGTCTGTTTATAAACATTTCATGTAATAACTTTCTGTTGGGGGAGCTTTTAGAGGTGGACGTCTGGTTCCCATCACCACCACTGTGACAATTCTGACAATTCTTGGTAAGTTTTGCCAGAGCAGCACATTTTGCACCAAACCAGCTGAATTTATTTACATCTTGGCAATTTAATTATGCAGAAATTTAGAAAAACTGGTGGAATTTCCCTTCCTCCATCTGAACTTAGTAAGAGAACAGAAAACTAATGACTCAATACACATTTATA